GCAGGTTGTAGATTACTGATAAAAATGGAAGAGATCCATGACTGAGATTAACAGAAGAAACATTTTAGCAAATGTCTTCAATATCAAAGTACTCTTGCTGTCCACAGTACTTGGTAGAGACATAGGTGGCATAGGTTGGCACAGGAATTGTCATATTTTTTCCCCTAAATCACTCATCTTATTTACGTTTAAAACAATGCAAACAGAGAATTACACGTCCCCCATAGTCTCCTGTATTTCAACACTTGGCTGCCTGTGGGTGGTGCTGTCTGGGGAGGTTACAAAGCCTTTAGGAGCTAGAACTTTGCTGGAGGAAGCGTGGGGGTGGGCTTTGAGAGCTTATAGCCCCTCCCTACTTCCTGTTCTCTCCCTCCCCCTCTCCTCCTTCCCCTCTCCCTACTTCCTGTTTGTGATTAAGGTGTGATCTCTCAGCTTCCTGCTCCTGCTGCCAGACAATTCCAGGGTGAGTTCTCTATCTCTTTGGAATCATAAACCCAAACCACCTTGCTTCCCTGAGTTGCCTTTGGTCATGGCATTTCATCTCAGCAGGAGAGTTTGTATTGGCTTCACAGTTCCAGAGGGTCAGAGGCTTAATAACAGGGACAGCCTGCCGGGAGTGGTGGCAGGATACAGGCACAAAACAGAGAGTGCCCTGGCCCACTCCTAGACATATCGTTCCTCCACAAGGCTGCATCTCTCCAAACAGCACCACCAACTGGGCACCACGTGTTCAAACGCTTGAGCCTATGAGGGGCGTTTTCATTGAAACCACACAAAGCTATACATACATCCGATCTATTTCTGTTGAAGGGGAAATTACGGCACTGCTCTGAAGACATAGTTTGCTCATCCTGGACTGCTTAATAGAGAGCAACCAATGTTGATAAAGTTCAGAGGCAAGGCAGTCCCTTGTCCCCCAATTTTTAACCTGTAAGATCTTTAGGGATTGGTTGTACGTGTGCTTTGCTAGTAGGGAAAAGTAACTGCATTTCTGGTTTCACGTATGAGTGAGCTTTTGTACCGTTTATTGACTGTACACAGTTATTTTCCACTGTGAGTATAAGGTCTACCTATCATCCAGTGATAACCAACTGGGGGTCTACAAAAATGTTCTCCAAGTTTCTCTCCAGGGGAGAAAAGATGCGACCTTCTTCAACATCCCATCTGTTCTTAGCAACCTTGACAACAAAATGGAAAAGTGTTTTCTCTCTGTCAAGGTAAACGTGGGCAGAAGAGCCTCACTCCTACTGTGAAACACTGTTTATTTTCTTTCCTCTGAGTAGTTAAAATGCTTTATAAAAAAAAAATATATGAGCTTCTCCAGCATGGAATTATCCTATAGTCTCTTGAGAAGAGGAAAATAGAATTAAAGTCCTTTCATTCTTGGTGATGGCCTCCCAAGCATTAATCACTGGGTCAAGAGAGAAAGCAGCAGACAAACACATGTCCGGATTCCAGACAAAGTCTTCAGGTCTTAATACAATTTTGGAAAGAGGCCACAGGACATATATTTACTGAAGTTTACGTATTATAAACATAAGATATGGAAGTTCTACAGGTATTCATTAATATGAAAGTATTAAGCCGAGAAGCCTAAATTGAATATGGGCTGTCAGACTTCACTAAATGTTATCTCCCCCGCCCTTTTTTTTTTCTGGCTTTAATATGAGAAATGCTTTTGAAAATTCAACTACTTCTAATCCCTTAAAAAATTTCCCAAATAAGGTTTTTTTGATGACCACATCTGCTCAGCTATGCTCAATAAACAAGGACCTCCTTTCTAAGACTGGGCACACCAAGAAGCTGTCAGTGTTTCCTAGGTTCACTTCAGCAAGCCTGACTCAGGAAAGCTTGGAGGAGCCTGATAAAAGCAGCCTTGAACTTGAACTGAAATTCCCTAGCTCGCTCTTTCGGAGTAAGGGACATTCCAGCCAGAGAGACCATATAATGTTCCATAATGGTTCTCAGTACCCTGAAAGTATGCATGTATCTCCTTCTGTGACCACTTCTAACATCTAGAAACCAGGGAATGGGGACACGTGTGTTTCTGTATGTCTGAGCCCACTTGCTGGTTCCTTGAAAGCCTTGGAGAAAGAAGGATGGAATCCTCAAGGGCTTACAAGCTACAGGGAACAATAGATTTGAGTGTCGTTCTAAACACAGGGACACTGGAAATCCAGATGTTCAGAGAGGGTCTGGTGCATACTTAGAATGTCTCTCAAGACAGCGGGCTGATCGCTTCCTCTGGAGGGCAGGTGTAGTATGCTCATCCATGATTACCAGTGCTCCCTGGTATTCAGTGAATTGTTTCATTCTAGATTCCCACTGAGTCTCTAGCACTTTCAGGGCAATGAGCTTGGACTAGCCTACCTCATTTTTACAACGATGAATAAAACGCTTTTCTGTGAAAGGAAGAGGCACAGGCAAGCTATGGTTCTTCCTTGAAGCAGTAGCAACCACATGGCTTACAAGGTTAATGCAAATTCTGGTAATTGCTGAACACAGAGAGGTTTTGTTTTGTTTTTTTTAATTCAGTTTTGCTGTCATCTAAGTATCTATGTCTAAGAATTAAAAAAAAATACATTGCACAAAATCTAGTGTGCTCTGGTTTCATAGGCCCAAAAGCACAAGATCATATTTCTTAATCCCATTGTTTACCGTTTTATGTAGCACTTTAATTTTTTATTGTCTCCATGCCTTCTGACCCTCCAAAGGAAGCATACAATAGCTGCCTCTGCCTTCTCTATAGACAGGGTTGGGGGGGGCACTTTTTTCCTGAGTGTTCTTCATCATTTGGAGAAGATTATTTCTCTGAACTCCTGCTCCATCGTGGTGACCCAACACTTCTACCTTTAAGCCCTGCCATGCCACAAGCCCGGAAACTTTGACATTTGACACAGGCAAGGTGTGGATCTCTGAGGTAAAGCAAAATTCAAGAAGGCCTGTCACATATTTATAACTTTAATCTTATTGTGGATAAGGTTAGCCTAGATAAACTTTCGATATATTGTATGTGCTCTGGACATAGTGAGGGTTTCCCCAAATTTTATAAAACACATGTATGTATGTATGTATATATGTATGTATGTATGTTTGTATTTCTAGTATCAAATGTGGTGATAACAACAGATAACAAATATACAAGCTTTTGCCCACCAGGACTGCCTCTCCCAACTTTCTATCTAAAATCACAGTATTTTCCCATCTGGGTTTATATTAAGAATGTATAGATTTTGGAAGAGAACACTACTTAACATTTTGTCATTTTCTCAATAAGTGTGGATGGAGACTGTGCACGCACAAAAGCAAAAGAGAATGTCGCTTGTTTCCAAGAATTCGGGACACAGTGGCCTTTAAGGATTTAGAGAGAGGAAGATGGCTATATCCATCCATGAGACTGGTATTTAATAGTCAGTTCCTCGTTTCATCAGGAAAAAGGAATGCACTCTGGGAAACGTGGTGGCCAAATAGTCACAATGTACATGCATGGCAAAACAAAACAGCTGCCTTGTATGGGTACCAGAGTTCTGAAAAGCACGAGGGAGGGGCATGAAGCCCATCCAGGGTGGCCAGAAGACAGAAAGAACACATCTCTTTCAATTATCAGTGAAAATGAAGGCACCAGTCCGTGTCATGTACGGGAAGGAAGAAAATTCTCGGGTTAATTCATCTCCAAGCGTGTCTAAAGGTGGGAGGGCTTGCAAGGGGAAAGCACTCAAAATTCATTTCCCGTGAGCTGTGAGTTTTATGCTCATTTGCCATCTGAAGAGCTTCGTTGTTTTTTGTTGAAGAGGACACACAAGCAACACTTATTTTGAACCCTTGAAGGACTGTTTTTCTGCTAAACACACACACACACACATCCTTAAAGGAACAGGCCTTGTAGCAGGGTGGGGCCTAAGCAGGACCCCAGGGACTGGAGATGTGAATGTTAATAATTTGTAGCTGTACAGGCAAGCCTCTGGACTATTCTTATCTCCTTATTCAAATCGAGGTGCGCTGAAATATATGAAGCTGTGCATTAATGGCTTAAATTAAGTTACAGGTATGAATTTTACATAAATCAGATTAATATTATATGTCATGGTGGAACTTAAAACACTTCATGTCCGTGCATTTTTTATTTTTGCTTGCTCTAATTTAACACCCGCAAAGGACTACATGTCTTAAGCTCACTTATGCATCTGGATAGGTCCAAGAAAAATCCACCACGATCTTGGATCTTGTTTTATGTGTATTTCCCTTCATCAGAAATCCTGCATTGGATCCGGCTTCCGGCATTCTTTTCCCATATTTTTCTTTTACTAAGCTTTAGTGTGCATATACATACATGCACACATACGGAAAGGCTACCCATTTTCATTTCATCTTGAGGGCTCCGCAATTGTGCAAAGATGAATGATGTTGCGGGGAGGGGGATGTGGATAACACAAATGAACAAACGCGCTTCTTGAAAGCGAATCCTTCTTGAAAGCACTGGAATCTTAGGGACTGACGGTCTGGGGACTGAGCTCCCCGCCTTGAACAGTGACAGGGGACCCACAAACAAGGCGCAGAGTCCCTCAGCAGCTCAGGCCCATGGAGAACGCATTCCAGCCAACACATTCCCCTAGTTCTCCGTAGGAACTTCTCTCTTTCTCTCTCTCTCTCTTTTCCCCTCCCTCGGGCACTCTCCATCCTGGCCCGACTCCCACCCAGCTTTTTTTTTTTTCTCAGATTCCCCCCTCCCACAGCGTTGACGGAATGGAGTGTCCTTCCCATTGGCCCGAGCATCTTTCCCCGAGGTGGCACTGTCCTCCTGATTGGCTGGTCATCCCCGACCCCCCGCCCATCCCCGCATTCTGGTTGCCCAGCGCCCCGCCCTCGCCACCTCCCTCCGCGCCACCGCCCGCGCGCCCAGCTCGCCCGCGTCCGGTTCTCGTGGCGACCCGGCCCGCGCGTTGGCCCCGCCCCCGAGGCGCGCGGCTCTACAAATACCGCTGCGCCGGGAGCCGGGCGACGCTGTTGAGCTGGGAGGCGCGGTTAGAAGTCGTTACTTCGAAGGGGGGCAGTCACGGGCTAGGGGAGCTCGGGGGCAGCGATCCACCGTAGTCGGAGCTCGGACGGGAACGGCTCGGGGACCAGGGTGGGCTACTTTTTTTTTTCTTCCGGGGCTTTTGATTTTTCTTGTCTTTTGCTTCGGGCCGAGTGTCGCTCACTAAAAACTGAGATTTTCCCCTTGCCAAAACCCCAAGCAGCTCTCCGGTCGATTTCTAGAGCTTGAGGCCGCTGGGTGCTGCGAGCTCCGGACGCGCAGGCTAGGGGAGCAAAGCGTATCGAGGGCGGGGACCCGGAGCTCGCTCCACCGCTTGTCCCCAAGCGGGTCCTCTCGCGCAGGGTGCAGGAAGCGCACGATGAAGGCGGTGAGCCCGGTGCGCCCCTCGGGCCGCAAGGCGCCGGCGGGCTGCGGCGGCGGGGAGCTGGCGCTACGTTGCCTGGCGGAGCATGGCCACAGCCTGGGTGGCTCGGCGGCCGCGGCGGCCGCGGCGGCGGCAGCGCGCTGCAAGGCGGCCGAGGCGGCGGCCGACGAGCCGGCGCTGTGCCTGCAGTGCGATATGAACGACTGCTACAGTCGCCTGCGAAGGCTCGTGCCCACCATCCCGCCCAACAAGAAAGTCAGCAAAGTGGAGATCCTGCAGCACGTTATTGACTACATCCTGGACCTGCAGCTGGCGCTGGAGACGCACCCTGCTCTGCTGAGACAGCCGCCACCGCCCGCGCCACCGCTCCACCCGGCCGCCGGGGCTTGTCCGGTCGCGCCGCCGCGGACCCCGCTCACCGCGCTCAACACTGACCCGGTGAGAAGCCTCCGCGGGCACCCTGGGCATCGCAGGGGAGGTGGCGGGGCGGCGAGAGACGGGTGGTCGTCCTCCTCTCAGGGAATGACAGCGGCTTCTCGGATCTCCACCGGGAGCCGCCTGCTGGGCTTAGTGATCGCTGGTCCCTGAGCTGAAAGCGGTCGGGACTCGGAGCCTTAAGTCTCCGGAGTGTCCCTTGCATCACAGGGGGCTTCCTCAGCTTCGGGCTCGGGTGGGGACTCTGCTCGTCTGCCTAGTTCCCCAGGACGGCTCCCGGGCGGTGGCGACAATGTGGTCTGCGCACTCTAACCTTTCCCTTGGTGTTGGGTTGCTGTTCCAGGCCGGCGCCGTGAACAAGCAGGGCGACAGCATTCTCTGCCGCTGAGCCGCGCTGGCCAGGTGAGCGCTCAGGTCCCGAACTGGGTAGTGGACCACCAGGGTCGCTGGTCGCTGGTGCCAGACACCACTGCGATCTTTGTCCCCTAGCATTTTGAAACGTAAACCCCTGTGGCCACCCACACCTCTGCCACCCAGTTAGCGAGGCAGTCCACTTAGCTTTCCAACTCGGGGATCACTCTCTGCGGAGCCTTAACAGCCTCAGTCCCCGCCGCCCGCGTTCCTCAGCCTGTGACCGACAGGCTCTACTGGTCTCCTCTACCTCTGAGAGGACATCCTCGTGATTGTGGAAACTATCCCAGTGTCCCGAGATCTCCCAGCCCTCCTCCCTACCCTTCATTCCCCAGCTGAGCCGCCTGACATCCACAAAGAGGGATGCGGGCAGAGCGCCCCGAATGCATCCAGTAGCCGTCCCCAGCCCGCGTTTGCCTCCTGGGCGCTTGGCCGAGCTGCAGGCTGCGGGTGTTGCCTGACCCGGCGGTTTGTTTTGGGTTGTTGATCATGCATGTCTTGAGTTTGGTCGGTGGCGCCAGTTAGTCTGCAGCGAGAAGGTTCACACACCCCCTCTATTCATTCCTCTTCCACAGGTGTGCGGCCGCCTGAGCACCAGCGAGCCAGGAGCCCTAGAAAGGGGGGGCCAGAGCAGAAATTAAGAGAAACAAGCCACCGGAGGAAAGGGGGGAAAAAAACTTCAGCAAATCTAGAAACATTGTCTCGTCTTGTCATTCCAAGAGAGAGAGAGAGAGAGAGAGAGAGAGAGAAAGGAAAAAATAATAATAAAACTTAAATTCACTTTTACTTTTTTGCACGTTCACAAGCATTCACCGTACGTATTCTTTTTAGTTTCTTTTATAACCGCTGTAAATTGTACATTTCTGTGGTTATTTTTATCATCCTTTTGGAGGTGCAGTTAAACTTTGAAGCTTAAGTGTTGTCGACAAGACTGCTAAGTAGAAGACCAATAGTGAATCCAACTTTAGAGGTTACATTGTGACGAGCGAATTGTTTTTGTTTTTGAAGCTTTACTAATATACCAGAGCATTGTAGATACGTTGTTTTACATCTATTGTTTAAAATAGATGATTATAACAGGGCGGGGAACTTTTTCTCTGCAAGAATGTTACATATTGTATAGATAAGTGAGTGACATTTCATACCCTGTATATATAGAGATGTTCTATAAGTGTGAGAAAGTATATGCGCTTTAATAGACTACTGTAATTATAAGATATTTTTAATTAAATATTTTTTGTAAATATTATGTGTGTGTTTTTTTAAATCGATGGGAATATTTCTTTTGGAGAATTATTTTTCAGCTCCCTTGCAGAGCTCTTAATATCTGGATGTTTTCTCTTTGGCCAGGCTGGTGATTTTTTGTTTGTTTTGCCCAGTATCCAGTGTCTGAGGCTCAGAAGTTACAGCTCTCCGGTACTGGTCTTGCATGATTGCATGAGATGTTCAATCACAAAATAAACCGGTTATGAGTCCTTTCAAATGTGCTTTCTTTAACCTAGATGGAAACCTTTTTATTAGAGTGTATATGTTGAAAACAAACCTTGTCGGGTTTTAAGTACAGGGTTTTATAGTGTAATATATAAAGAATTAAGTGTGTGGGTTTTTTTTTTCTTTTTGAACTGAGGTAAAAAAAAAAAAAAAGCTTCTGAGAGAATTTGTATATAGGATGGAGAAATGCTTGGACCTTTAAGGACTCTACAGAACTGCTGTCTTTTCAAAGTGAAAATGTTCGTCCTTCATTTTACACTAAAGCATAATGTCATGAAGTTTCATATCTGTACAGAGTATTTAAATCATAGAAATGAAAAATGTTCTCTGCTTGCTACCAAAGGACAAACTCTGGAAATGGACATTTCTACCCTCTTCCCTCCAAAGAATATTAATAGGCATCAGTAGGAGAAAAAACAAAAGAAAAAAACATACTGGAAAATCCTTCAAGCAGGGATAAAAGTCGATCTTCAAACATTAACTTAAGTAGACCAAAAATTCTGATGACCACATCTAGATTATTTTTCTATAAAAAATGATTTTCACTATAGCGATGTCAGTCACCACTAAGCTACTGTCCAATTCCATGTGATGTGTAACTTTTACATGTGAAAATTAAAAGTAGATTTATCTGTCTTGTACTGTGACTTCTGATGTGATTTCTTAACGATATAGAATTGACTAAGGACCGTCTTTCCTTTCCGGGAAAATCATATATTCTAGGTGAGCTGAGAACTCCAGGGTTTATGAACACATTTAATGTAATGGGTATTTTACATACCAGTTAGATGGAATTTTTAAGAGTGGGAGATTTAAATAGGATTTAATTGGGTGCTTTGTAAATAGTGAACTGTGTGTAAACGTGCTCTGTTTGATTTTTAAAAGGAAAAGGATTTGTTTCAGATTATACAAGAATAAAAGTATTATAGACCAAGGGACTTTTTATGAAGTCAAAGTTAAATATTTATGGGTATCTGAAATGTCACAGTCCCTAACTGTCAGCTAGAGGGTTACCTCAACAAAGGGTCAAAATGAGTTTCGAGGTTAAAGATTCATCGAGAGTTTCTGTAAAACCTGTGCCATCCTGTCTACCTCCCACCCCAGGGCTTCCCCCTCTGCTCCTTCCCTGGTCTCCGGTATATTTAGACTTTGGTGTATCTGATGTTGAGTCTTACAAAGTCAAAGGGCTGCTTGTGGATGAGGTTTGTGCTTGGTTGTTTTATATTGCTCATACTTCTCCTACATCAGGAAGAAAGTACTAGCCCACTGGTGGAATTCCGGATCTCAAGAATTCTAAGGACTGCATTCTTTGTTATTAAAAAGGGCACAGTTCCTCCTTTTCTTTTGGCAGTTTCATTTCAGAGGGATTGTGTCACGTGTGTGCCCTTCCCTGAGACTGTGCACTTGTCATGCCTGACTGCTGAACCCTACCTAAGCTGTTAGGCAGAGTTTAAAACTACGTTGTTTGGCTCTGAATATTTTTTTTTTTTTAAAAAAAAAATGTTTGGATGTTTCTGCTATTAGGAAAGAGATACTGGCATATAAATTTATATTTGGGCATACAAAAAAAAATAAAAATAAAACAACACTGAAAGAAATGCAGAGATCCTGTTCTTGAGAGTTGATATTTTTTCCTTGGCCCACTGAAGCAGCAGTTGACATCGCTAAAAAATTGCCGATTAAATGACAAGTATCCTGTATATTTGTAGAAGAAGCCACATTCTATGAAGATATTACCTGTGGCCTAATCAGGCAACCAAATAATAAAAACATTTCAAGTCTTTTATCCAGATTGTTCTACTTATGCAAATATTTAGCTTAACAAAAGAAAATATCCTGGCCTGGTTTTGGTAATTTGTTGAGTTTCATTGTATAGGCAAAACCAAAGAACAAGGTTCCTTTAAAACCCTGGAAGGAAAAGAAATATAACCCCCCCTCCCCCAACACTCACTGTGGATGTTATTCCTAAAGTTGTTACAAAATCCTGGCATCTCAGACATCTTATGATAAGGAAAACAATATATACCTTTTCGTTTGAAAGAACTGACTTTGGTGTTGTACAATTCCTACTCAAGTTCATTGTCAACTTTAATGGCATTTTTAAACCTTTAAAAATTTTTTGATTCATTCCACCCCCCCCCAGCCTGTTGTATTAGATTCCTCCTGTACTAATAAATCAGTCTTCACTGAGAAAAAGGATCTGAAGTTTGTGGTTTTTAATTGACTCACACCGAGTTACACCATTTTTTCATGATCAGGAGCAGGTTTCTTGATGGGTCACCTCAATTATTTACCATGTTCCTTACCACGGGGTAAAAAGTGTGACTTTAAAGGGATAACGTGAATGGGCAGAGAATCTACTCTGAATCAGGTAGCTTCCCTACTAGTGTCTTACGACAGGAATCAGAGATCCTAAATGCAAAGAGGGTGGGGCCCCAAAACTAGATCCAAAACAAAAAACAAAAACAAAACAAAAACACACAAAAAAAAAAAACAGAAAAAAAGTACAAAATGGTCACAGAAAAATTATTTCACAGTAGTCCAGAGTCTAATCAAACTGCCTTTTCCTGTCTAGTTGGCACATATTAACTATATACACGTTAATCAGCCCACATAGCCTTTGCGTCTCCACAGGGCCAAGCCCCTACCCTCCAGGCTTACGAGGAAGCGAAGCCTTCCCACTGCTACTGTGTTAAGTCCAGGAAATTAATTTCCAGGTTCTGAGTGACACTTGATAGGGCTGTCCTCAGTAGGCTTCAGACCCACATGGCTTCTGTCATTATCAGCCATGATATTCTGCTAAAGTATCCGTTTTATTAATTAGAACCACTGCCCCCAAGACTGTATAACTGATTTTCCATCCAGCTGTACCTAAAACAAGATTCAGTGCATATGTTCAATGACAGAGACACTATTTTACAAATGAGAACCAATTTATTGAGGGGTGACAACCTTGGGTCTTAGAGGCTTCCCTTAGGCCCTTGAAAGTGAATTTTTCCTAGTGTGTTTGTGTTTAAGTTTATATCTTATCCCTGTGTTTTGTTTTTTTTTTTCAAAATAAATAACTGTTAAATACTAAAACTTGGGTCTGGACCACCTTACCGGTGGCCTTCCATACACACCAAAGCGAAGTGATTCATATCAGGAGCTTTACCGTGGACTGCTTGAACTAAGCATTTTATATGTAAGCACAAGGCAGGATGAAAAACCACCCCAAAGAACAGGTAAATCGACTACGTTTAGGAAATCCTAGGATGGTGTTTGAACCTTGCAAGTAATCTCAAGAAAGATAAAAGGAAGGAAGATACTCTGGTTTGTACCAGCAGAGAAAGTCCGGGAAACAGCAAACTTGAGGGACAGAAAGTAAGGATGTGACTTCAGCAGCCAGCCTCGGTTGGCCACAGACTCAGGCTCACTGCCCAAGGCTGGCTGCATTTAAAACAGAGGGGGCTCCCTAAGGTTGAAGAATACCTATGTTTTTTTTCTTCTTATAGCCCGTGGTGATAGCTTGAAAAGTGTTGAGTGGAATGAGCAGTGTCTTGTTCTGACAGCTTCGCCCCCAGTGTCCCACTCAGTTAATCCTTGTTTCCTCCTGTCCTCTGGTTAGCCCTGCCCCTGAGAAGCAATAGGTTTGATATGGTCTTCCTCAGACTTTCTCTTCTTCTGAATTCCTTATCTTGATGTGTGGAACTTCTCCATGGGTCAGAAATCTGAAAGAAGCATTCGATTGTGCCTTCCGACTCCATCATAAAAACGGCTTGTGAAGCTGATGTCCCCGGGCTACCTCCGCAACCTCCATCCACATCTGGCTTCAGTATCATTCCCTGAGCTCATTCTCTATTTTAAATGTCTGTGTATGAGCGTTTTGCCTACATGTATATCTGTGGACAACTTGCAAGCCTATGTCCTGGAAGCGCCCCCTCCCCCCACCCCAAAAATGGCGTCAGGTCTTCTGGAACTGGAGTTACAAATCTCTGTGAGCTCCATGTGAGTGCTGGGAATAGAAGCTGGGTCCTCTGGAAGAGCAGCCAGTGATCTCATCCCCTGAGCCATCTCTGCAGCGCCGTCTCCTGAACTCTGTCTCTTTGCCACACCCCATTATGAATCTAACCATTCATGTGTGGGATGTGGAAGAGTTGGAAGCTGCAGGGAGGAGGAAATCCTACGCTCATTCTCTCTCCCTCTCTCTTCTTCTGCATAACTTGTCACCCTCTCTTCCTATGGTGGAATGTCCAGTTCCCTGGATCAGCTTAGCTGATCACCTAGGCACTAAATGAATCATTTCTATGCTGGGACTGTGGTTGGTAGAGTGCCTATCCAGCACAGCGGAAGCCCCGAGTTGAATTTGCCACATGAACTTCGGCACCACATAAACTGGGTATAATAGCTCATGTTTATAATGCAAGCATGTGGGAGGTAGAACCGGGAGGATCTGTAGTTCAAGTTACGTAGTGAGTTCAAAGCCAGCCTGGGATACATGAGACCTAGGAGACACGAGGCCCTGTCTCAGCATAACTATGGTGATGGTGGCCATGGTGATTCCCACCAGTCCTTTCTGTCCTCTACTCCTTACTGTCTGTGCATTTTATGGACCCTCCTGTGTGTATTAATTCAGCTTACCTTCCAAGTCTTGATGGAGTAGGACAGATCCCTGAGTGTTACAGGGAGATCAGACCAGGGAAAGATATACCTGCAATGTGAAACTCTAAGGGTGGGGGACAGAAAACACCTGCCCTGCTAGCCAAACCAGCTAAGTGAACCTGATCTGTCTACGGATGTTCTTTTATACTTCCTTTCTTGCCATACAGTCTTACCCCTGCCTGGACCCTCCATCCCCAACTCCCAGTCCTGGTTATTAAACTCCCAACTATCAAGATTCAGCTGCTGCCTCTTTAGGAAAAAAAAAATCTCCTCATCCAGCCAGTTAGCGGCTACTCCAGCAACTCCTGAGTCCAGGTTATCGTTATTTTCCTGTGACCATGTATGTGGTAAGACTCTTGACCTTGCGAAGATTGCAGAGCACAAGTACTAGCTCTGTACCAGCAAGTCTAGCAAATTCTTTGCAGCTCAAAACTGCAGAGGAGAGATTTTCATTATCTGAAAGCCTTTGGCTGCCTCCAACATGGAAGACAGATAAGCTGTGTGAATGGAGTGCGGTCAGCCGCAGGCAGAGGGTTGGAAGGAGACACTGAGAAGGAGAGTCGAGAGGAAGAGCAGATCCTGTATCCTCAGTAGAAAAAGGGGCTTCACTGGTTCAAATCAGTGTAAGGAGTCAGTCAGTCAGTCAGTCAGTCAGTCAGTCAGTCAGTCAGTCAGAGCCTGGGCTGAAACTGCAGGGCAAGTAGGGGAGAGGACAAGTGACTTACTGGCTGTGGATGGATCGGAAGCTGCAGGCAGGGGGAAATCCCCACCCCCACCTCTCTCCCTCCCTCTTCTCCTGCAGCAGAGAGTAGTAGTTTGAGCCTTTGATCCCAGCATTAAGGAAAAAGAGGTAAGCAAGTCTCTGTAAGGTGGAGGTCCACCTGGTTTATATAGTGAGTTCTAGGACAGCCAGGGCTTGCAGAGAGGACCTGTTTCAGAAAAACAAAAGAAAAAATGTTGAGCAGAGGTGAAGGTCTCCACAAGGATCGAGAATCACCAAGGGGGC